TTTCGACTATGGACAGATGGAACTGATGAGGATATCAAAGCGGGGATTGGGAAAGCAAGGCAAGCTTTCGTTTTTCTCAAGTCTGTATGGAGATCAACAACACCCAGCGTGAAAAATAAGATCCGGATTTTCAACTCCCATGTGAAGTCAGTGCTACTTACTATACGGATCAGAGACTAGGCGCCGCGTCAACAACGGCACTTCAAACAAACTACAGACCTTCATCAACAGCTGTCTTCACTCAATACTCAACATCAGATGGTAGGTCAGAAAAGATCAGCCATAAAGATCTCTGGCAATGAGCGAACCAACCCAGCAGGAGCTAATTGTGCAACAAATAAGCAGGGATAAATGGAGATGGATTGACCATACTCTGAGGAAACCATCAAGTGACAACACACGACAGGCTCTCGATCGGAACCTGAATGGGAAGTGGCGAGTTGGTCGTCAGTGCGAGGGTGACATGGAGGAGGTCATGTGAAGAGGAGATGAAAGCATGTGGGCAGACGTGGAGCCAGGTGGCAACGTTGGAAGCAAACCGAACGCAATGAAGACGTGTGGCTGAAGCCCTATGTTCCTCTAGGAACCGAAGGAGACAACGATTCCAATCGCCCCTCACCACGTAATTCGTCCCCATTCAGATTTCGAAACTGGTTGATGAACAGTTTGTACTGATAACGGTCACCATCGAATTACATTATGTCGACCCTGAGCGCGTACATAATTTAACCAACGCAACTCAGATTATTCCAAGTCCGTCGCAAAATTGTCCCCTTTCCTACCTATTAGACCATTGTCCATAGTCTCAGAATCAATGGAAAGCTCACAAATGAGCCGTCTCAACTCCTCCTCTAGTTCTACCTTTCTTGCCAAATTTGAGGAACTCTATGTCATAAACTCCGTTCAAATAACATTTCAAGACACAGAATTGCTGTACTCTACCAAAGCCAAATGAAATCAAATTGCTCTAAATAAACTTGACCAAGTCTAAAAACAAAACCAAATGATTCCGAGTAAAAATATATTGACAAGAGACTGTTGAAGAACTACGGGTATATTAATTTATTAAAAGAAATGCATCGTATAAACATGGTGCAAATGTTCAAACCTGAGCTTATCAGGTATCCAAATACCAGGAACACATTAGTTCAACCTCAAACTGCTTCGCAATTAACAAAGTGTGGATTCGAATCAAAATGTAGAGCAATTCACTGAGGCACAAATGACCTAATTAACCAAAAATTAAAAATGGTATGTGAAGTGAAGTTAAGTAAATAAAAGTGGAAATAATAGAAGAAAATGGTTGCACATTTCCACATGAAAGACACGGTTTCATATTTTTACTTTTTGTCTGTTATCTGTCGCATGTGGATGACAGTCTGGATTCCGTTCAGCGAACACTTGCACTATCAACTTTGGAAAGCATGATATCAGACACCGACTCAGTGGGAGCTGGCTATTCACTGTTGACATTTACATATGCAATACATGAATCATAAGCAGTTTGAAAGATGTAGGAGGAAATCTGAACCAACTATTTATCTAGTTTCAGAATAGTAATCCCAGTAATTAACCGATCAGGTATGTGGGGATGGAGCTGATTCCCAAAGTTTCGAATATCTTGGTTAGGAGCACGAACATGTTTGTTGAACTGAGCCCTCACTCGTGTTACAAAAGTTTTTATGTGAATGTGATATGTTGGAATTTCACGGAGTTTCTCAAATTACAGAGAAATTACACATTTCACTGGTCTGTACGCATTTAGCTCCATAGTAGAAATAAAATGAGCCGAAATTTTGTCATCGCGAACATTCAAGATAAACGGCGATTTCCTGTGGTGAACCGTTGATAGGAAACTTTCCAAGATTATTTAATTGAATAGCGACGTCAAAACGTTGTAATTAATCGAAATAGTAGTATGTCAAAATGACCCAATAACAGGTAACCAACCAACAACACGTTGAGGGATGATTTAGGAGTTTGTATTCACAAAATAAATATATGAATATATTACAGTAAGTACTTAAACAATCAAGTGAGAGCAACAGACAATCACAACAATATCTCAAGTGTGGCATTACTCTACACATTCCCAGCGTCTTATCTTTACCTGGTGGCGTGGGTTCCACTGATATTACCAGCTGATGATGAGTATAAATCAAGCTGTTTCTTCCATTTACTTGTATGATGCACACTTGTTAAACTAGTGGGTTTGTTTCAGTAAGAAAGAAGGCTTCATATTTGTGAATAGACGTTCTCACCTCAGATTAATCAAGTGAATTAGGATTACCAACTCACAAACAATCTCAGTGTGTGTGTGTGTATGTGTATATATATTGATGGTAAAGTTAGCTAGACTCGGTTTGTTAAATAGTAGTAGGTCAACTTGACTAAAATCAATGCTTGTGGTTATTTTTCAGGTCAATTCTCCGTCACACTACATGCAATGGAAAACTGACAATTCACTGACTGGTTAACTACCACGAATTTTCTCACTCTAATGACAATAATTTGTATACTCATATTCAACATCTTGACGATTTCCAAGAAAATATACCGTCTTACCTTCTACATCAAGAAGTTAAGACATTCTGGTGTAACCCAACCCTTACTACTACAATTTGTTAACTCCCGTATTCTGCCTATAATTCTCTATTGCTCCCCCTTAGTCTTTCCTGGGCTATTGAAGAAAGACTATACCTTATTACGTAGGATGTTAAAGGTTGTCAGCAGGGTAAGCAGTTTACCACTTAGCCAGCTTGTTAACATTCTGGTGGACAGGCACATGGACTCATGTGAAAAATGGGCGAAGTCCATTTTATCTGACTCACAACACCCTCTACACTCACAACTCTCCCCATGTATCTCTTCAGGGAAAACAAGAAGTCTATATAGGAAACTATATGCCCGCACTATTAAGTACAAAAACTCATCCATACCCTACCTAGCCCGTGTTCTGTGTGATAAAGAATGCATCAGGCATGAAACCTTTAACTTATTAAATAGTCACTAGAACCAATGAATCTCGTCTTTCCAACTCACATCATTTATGGGTACAACGTTTTCTCTCTTTTCCATTCTCTCTACCTTTTTTGTCTTTATTTTTGTTAAGTGCTGTTTTGTTTTTCTCTTCCTTGCAAACTCTAGTTAAAACCTTCTTGTTGTTCTTTTACACTCTGTATATCTCGACCATTTTGCTATCGCTTACGCCAGTAAATATGCTAGTAGTATCTACTTTTGTAACACCTTCAAACATTTTAATTTTGGCTTTGCTACCGACATACTAATATGTTGTTGAAATAATCTTTAATCTATGTAGAACTTTATTTATTGTTAATGTAAAAACTGGATGCAATATTGTAGTAAAATGCTGAGAATTCCATTCTGTATCACAAGTACTGATTTGGAATAAAGCTTATATAATAATAATAATAATAATATATTATGAGAGCGACACACTCCACTGTTCACCCACCATCCGCTATGACAATCACTCCCATCTGGCTAGGAAGCACTACTGCTTGATGTGAGTTCTATACAACTACTCGGCTCTATTCAATCACTCAGTAGTGTGTAGGCACTTGCATTTACGCTTGCGTTTTATTTATTCAATAGTTGTGCTATCGAGGCGATGACATGTGGTTTACACTCAATAATCTCGGTTTCCCAGGGAAGAAACAGTGGTGGAATTTCACCTCGAACTGTGGAAATCGCAAATTGAGAAGTAGTTGGCGAATTACAAATGTGACTCGACTCGACTCCTAAACACAGCCACAAAGTCAACCAATATTAAATTTATGCTGCGGAAAAGTGTAATATGCATGCTAGATTTTTGTCACCACACACATTTTCAGTGGTTATGATGAACATACCTGTCGTGTTTCTGAGAACACAGGTACTCATTCATGCAATATTATGTGTGGGTGGATTGTTGGAGGCAGTCTACAAGAAGACGTGCTTTCAATACACATTGTACCGACCATGACGATTATGCAATTGTTGTGAGAGCTGTCTGCTAGCGAAAACCGTTATACAGCAATTTACGTCAATGTCTACGTCACAAATCTTTCTCGTGAGTGAAACAAGAACAAAGACTAGCTCAGAAACTAATCATCACAGAAGACTATGCGTGGGGTGGATACGATTCGCAGATATATGGTCTGATAAAGAAAGAAACCACCACACAGAGATGACAGAATATATTTCAGGGAGAAAACAGCCAATCAAAAGACGCTGTTTCTCTACTAAAAGTAACATATTATAATGTACATAAAAATCTATAAACACCTGTTGATTTTCTCAATAAACGATCTATTGCCTGGTCCTTCTCTTCCGTCGTTACACAATGAGCTCCGATTCACCGATATCTCGCCGTCAATTTCAGCTCACTACACCGACTGATATTTTGAAGGAGTGTATGTTGAAGTCGGAGTATTTGTTACTGTCATTGGTGAGATGAGAAGGCTAGCGCTGTCGAAGTTACCACTGACAGGAGAATGGATACGCTCGCTCATCAACTTACTTTTTCTCCACATGCACACAAATTTCGATTTCACCACTAATTTTTAAATGATACTTTCTTTGTCATGTTTGCCTACACAGCGTTTTATTTGTGAAATGAATCTCAAATGTAGGATGCAGTTAGAAGCAGATATGTGAACCATCTGTTTTTATTTGAGTCTAACTCTATGCACTACCCCTAGTGATCTCCTGCGATAGATGTATGTCTAATTTGGTTTACCTCTTATTATGTTCGGTGGGAAAGCATCCTGTCTTCCTCGAAGTTACAACACGCAGGCGAATTAACCTATTTACTTATCAAGTTACACTGTTTCGAGATACACACAACCAACCATTTCTTCACTTGTCTACTTCAGTATTAGACGGCAAATACATCATCACTGGACCGTGAGGACATTTCAAGTTCACTTCGTGAATTCCGGAAATCCTACTCTCTTTAAATCTTGTTAATTAGCATTAGTGTAAGGTTCCTGCATGTCACTCAGATGGAAATTTATCCTCAAAGTAATATTTATTTTCAGCTATATAAAATACATCGAACTCATACTGATTATCACCCGCCCCTTGAAGACAGTCATCTCGCATATAGGAATAGACATTTTTAAACATATTTGTTGCCATTTCATGACAATCTGAAATCTGACTGTTTGGTAGTGACTTTTACACATAGTTGTACATTTAGTACTTTGATTAGTCAATGTTTTCATCAGTCATTTGTCACACATATCACCATCGAACAACTTTTTACTTCCCTATGAAAATATGAAATCTTTATACGAAACCCGTCAACTAGACAAAATAATGCGGCTGTAACACTCAAAAGAACACAACATTTTATGAATAAAAACGTTATTTATCAAACAGTTTTAACACTATTCAACTTGAGGCGTCAATTCAGTACAAGGTTTTGCATTCTACACAGAGAAGAGTGAAATAACAATCATACAACTGACACAAATAGCACAACTTCATCAATAATCCACAGTCAGATAAACATTAGTAGAAAGGCTCCTCAGCACATCACTTGCACCAATTGACCACTTTCCTTTCGTAGACAAATTGGTTAATCGGTTCTTTAACTCCAATCGGTAGTGTGGACAAGTAAAACGGCGTATCAGCCCCTAAAATAACCAGAAACATTTTTTAGGTGTTTATGCTACACCAACATTAAATTATCACACAATTTAGTAGCAGAGCAGTCTATTAGAATAACAGTCGGTGAGATCTGTCTTGGATAAAACAGTACTTAAAAAAGCACATGTACAATTCAGTGGAAAATAGGAATGAGGTGAAACTTTGCTGAAGTAAAACGTAGAGTCTGAATGGGGAGAGGCTAGACACAGTGAACAGTGGACCCATGTGAGGTGTGTAACTGCAGTCTACTAACTACCTGCCTTCACCGCTGAAACAGACAAACTCCTCATTCCTCAACGAAATTAATGTTCATGACGTTTACTGAAGATGACATACTGTTTCTCAGCCAATAGTGTTCGAATAAGTGAAAGATGCCGGATAAGTCCCCAACTCTGGTTCACTTTGTATGCAAGTATACTTAACTTCCAATACCTACAAGTTCTGACCTACTTAGCTTCGTGCGAGACGACATATTAATAAATCATTGTTTTGGGAACTTACAAGACCCAAGCTCAACTCGAACTCCCAACGATCAAATAATTGCACATGACGGCGAACAATACCCATTTGAGTAGTTGTACGTCTTCACATTTAAATTGCAGTGAAATCTGTGGTATCTCTTGTCTGTATTTCATTTACAAATAGCCATTTGATCTAGTAAATTCGGACAGACTGTTATCGTGATAAATTACTAAGTTACTCATTTCATTTCAAGATTTTCTCATTGCATATTCGCATGTAACTAGCATTAAAATTTCGCGTTGAGCACTTTGTTTAACCTACCAAATGTTTACACGAGTATGCATATCACCAGGTCTCTATTTGCTGATAAACAAGTAAACAAATAAGAATTCTCAGATATTCAACCTCTGCATCCTATGTAACAGAAGTTACTTGAGTGTTACGCACACTACTGGGAGAATAAGTCATTTACATACTTCGCTATTTGATATTTTTTCAATAAAAACCTAACAACAGAACTGGTTTCGTGAGTGTGGAACTCAAGAAACATTCCTTCTCAAATAACTGGATTGACGCATAGTTGGTTATTGACTCAGTCGAAACTATAGTCAGAAACACAAATTTCCTAGATAAAATACAAGGTCAAAATCAACTCGACAACTGCTGCATATTGTGGTCAGTGTATTAGTTGACTAAGTCCGATCCCTGAATGCTCGGACGAAACACATACTGAGTGAGTCTATAACGTCTCAGTACACAGTAACCAATGAAGCAGTTACGGCAAATAAGCCAAACTCGATGCGGGAATCTGTAGTCAAACCAGTCCGAAAGAGGCTAACTAGAATTCCTACACTGGTGACCACCAATGACTTTGAACACTAACAACAAACGCCTCCTCATTGGGTGTCAGTGCAGTTCTCGAACAGAATTATAGCCCCAGCATTTACACCTCAAGAAAATCTTGAGAAAAGTTAGTTCGTCTGAGCAGTAACTGTCACTGTTTTTTCACTTCGGATTTTCATGGCTATATGAGTTTTCACAACTACAGATAAAGTAATTATAACACATTTGATATTTTTCCTGTCAGCTTCTGTGGGTCGTTTCAATTTAAAACGGTACACAGTGGTGCGGAACGCGCGCTTTTCGACTATTACGCTACATTTTGGTCATAAATAAAATATCTTATTACTCTAAAATTTTATGCAAAGTGTTTGCGGAAATTATCACAATTATTAACCTTTCGAACACTGAATCCAAAAAATACAATCTTATTGACAGATAATACACATAACTAACTGTTTGGATTTGTGGAATTTTTAAACATAAACACATCTATAATTGTATATATTGTTGGATTTATATGTTCAAGTTGCTCCAAGTCAGTGAGTTTATGGTTAAGATATCATTTTAGTTACATATACTGAACTATATTGCATGTTGTCTTATTGTATAGTTGTCGTCGCTTTTTGCCCTTTTTTGTGTGAACTGTTTCCTTTGTTGATGTTGTTCTCATTGTTTGTCCGTTATTTTTTGATTTTGAGGGGAGCAACCCAAAAAGTTGCTTCTCTCTAAACTTTTACTTAATGTAATCATTCTTTTCTCAGGCGTGAGGCTAGCAACCCCACCCTGTAAACAAAAATTGCTACAGAATCTTCAGTATGCTGAACCTCCTTGCACCAAAAGAAAAAGTCTGTGTAGGAACATGGAACGTTCGAACTATGTACGAGACTGGAAAAGCTGCCCAGATCGCCAACGAGATGAAAAGATACGGAATACAAGTGCTGGGAATATGTGAGAGCAGATGGAATGGGAGTGGACTCACCAAATTGTCAACAGGTGAGTCAGTGATCTACTCCGGTCACCCAGAAGATAACCACACGCACACCGAGGGCGTGGCTATCATGATGTCACCAACGGCAACGAAAGCCCTGATACAATGGGAGGCGATTTCGTCCAGGATAATGACCGCCAGGTTCAACTCCAAAGGAAGGAAAGTGTCAATCATACAATGTTATGCACCCACAAACAACGCAGACCTCGAGAAGAAAGAAGAATTCTACAGGCAACTACAGGCAACAATGGACAATACTCCAGCTGGCGACATGAAAATACTAATGGGAGACATGAACGCCAAACTGGGACCAGACAATACGGGAAGGGAACTCATCATGGGTAGAGAAGCTCTAGGAGAAATGAATGAAAACGGAGAACTCTTCGCCGACTTCTGCGCCTTCAACGAACTGGTGATTGGTGGCAGTGTATACAAGCACAAAGATATCCACAAGGCTACATGGGTGTCACCAGACGGGCAAACCAAAAACCAAATCGACTTCATCTCAATCTCAAGGAAGTGGAGGCGCAGCCTACTGGACACAAAAGCAAGAAGAGGAGCAGACGTTGGCTCAGACCACTATCTCGTACAAGGGACAATCCAAATCAAATTAAAAGCTTTCAGGGAATCAGGAGCTGCAGATAGACCACAAGCCAAGTTCAACACTCAAAAGCTGAAGGACCAGGCTACAAAGGACATCTTCATTGCAAGCATAAAGGACAAAGTCGAGACACAAATCAACACTAGCGAAGAGGTCGGCGTTGAAAAGCACTGGAACAACTTGAAAACGGTGTGGAGCCAAACCTGCATAGAAATTCTAGGCAGAAAAAAGAGACAGGACAAACAGTGGCTCACTACGGACACTTGGAAACTAATAGAAGAGAGAAGGACAGTGAAGCAAAAGATTATCCAGTGCACGGACGAGCAACAAAAACAGGAGCTGAATGCAAGCTACAATACACTGAACAAAAGAGTGAAGAAAAGTGCCAGGGAAGACAAAAGAAAATATTATGAAACCATGGCAAACGAAGCAGAACAAGCTGCAGGCAAAGGAGACCTCGCCACACTCTACCAAACAACTAGGAACCTTTCGGGCAAACGTTCGACACAGATTAAGCCAATAAAGGACGACAATGGAAAGTCAATCACCAAAGAGGTGGAACAGAGAAAGCACTGGGTTGAACACTTCAAAAGACTTCTAAATCGTCCGCCACCTACAACACGTCCAGCAATACCAACAACGGAAGCAGAACTACCAGTGAACACTGACCCCCCGACGAAATCAGAAGTCCTGAATGCAATCAAGATGCTTAAAACTGGGAAAACACCGGGACCAGATGGAATCCCAGCAGAGGCTTTGAAAATAGACCCAGAGACAACAGCGGACTTGATGACACCACTACTGGAGAAGGTGTGGAAAGAGGGCAAAGTACCCGAGGATTGGAAGAACAGTTACTTATTCAAACTTCCAAAGAAAGGAGACTTAAGTCAATGTAAAAACTGGCGGGGAATTATGCTTCTGTCCATTCCAAGCAAGATACTAAGTCGCATCATCCTGGAGAGAATCAAACAAGCCCTAGATGAAAAACTTCGTCCGGAACAGGCTGGATTCAGGAGAAACAAATCATGTATTGATCAAATCGCCACTCTACGGATCATCATTGAACAAAGCTTGGAATGGCAGTCACCTCTCTATCTCAACTTCATCGACTTTGAAAAGGCCTTCGACAGCGTCGATCGAGAGGTCATTTGGAAACTACTTCGCTACTACGGGGTCCCATCGACAATTATACACCTCATCCAACAGTTATACGACAATGCTGCATGCCAAGTAATCCACAACGGGAAACTTACGGAAGCCTTCGAAGTGAGGACGGGAGTGAGGCAAGGCTGTCTACTATCACCAATGATCTTCCTGATTGCAATTGATTGGATAATGCGACAGACAACGGCAACCAACGAGGGAACAGGCATAAAATGGACTGACACAAAAGACTTGGAGGATCTGGATTTCGCCGATGATATATGTCTGATTTCCCATAAACTGGAAGATATGCAAATGAAAAGTAACAAGTTGGCAGAAGAAGCATCAAAGATAGGACTTCACGTGAACATAGATAAAACAGAGATGATGAAGATTCCTTGCCAACATCAACAGCAACAACAGACCACAATAAGCATAAATGGGAAGAACCTGAAAGAAACAACCTCCTTCACCTACCTGGGAAGCATCGTCTCAACTACAGGCGGAACTGACGAGGACATCAAAGCCAGAATCGGAAAAGCAAGACAAGCTTTCATTACTCTCAAATCTGTGTGGAGGTCAACAGCAATCAGCATCAAAAATAAGATCCGGATTTTCAACTCCAATGTGAAGTCAGTGCTACTATACGGATCAGAGACTTGGCGAGTCATAAAGAGCATCTCAAACAAACTTCAAACCTTCATTAACAACTGTCTCCGCTCAATACTCAAGATCAGATGGCCAGAAAAGATCAGCAACAGGGATCTCTGGGAGCGAACCAATCAGGAACCGATTGTGAAACAAATAGGCAGAAAGAAATGGAGATGGATTGGCCATACGCTGAGGAAACCATCAAGTGACATCACTAGACAAGCCCTCGAGTGGAACCCGAAAGGGAGGCGGCGAGTTGGTCGTCCAAGGGTGACTTGGAGGAGGTCATGTGAAGAGGAGATGAAAGCATGTGGGCAGACCTGGAGCAGGGTGAAAAAGTTGTCAGAAAACCGAAGTCAATGGAGGTGCGCAGCTGAAGCCCTATGTTCCTCTAGGAACTAAAGGATACAATAATAATAATAATAATATAATAACACAGTGGTGCGAAAATCTTTGTTGTAATTTATTTGACCGCGAAGCAAACATTCCACTGAGATACTATGCCTCCAGATAAATATTAATTATAAAGACTAACTTTTGTTCTTGATAAGTAAAACATTCCAGAAAGTGAATTGTTACACACAGACTTACCCTCATCAGTTGTTTTCACTCCTTTGTGACTAGTCATATCGGTATCAACATAACCAGGGCAGCACTGTCAAATTCACAAAACAAAAAGGAATAAAGTAAAGAATTTCCAGTGTGTGGAAATATAGAAAAAATAACACAGTACAGAGGTCTAGCTACTTCCTAGTAACCTTAGGATGAGCACAATAAGAACACAGTAACATATTACAAAGCCCAGCACAAACTACCACTCCGAATATCGGATACATTTCGGATTTACTGTAGTGATTGACTATTTCTATTACTGTACTGTTTAAATGTCTGTTGGTGTTTGTTTCGCTTTACAGTAAAAACATAAATATCAATTTCGGATTCCGGTCCTAATCGTATTGTTCTCAGACTGACTGGTATTCGGCCATTGAAGATTACAGTTACAAAGTATTGCATTTACACATACGGGCACAAATTAACATCTAATCCAAACTAGAAAGAGTAACGCATAAACTGTATCACAAAAGTGAAAACAAAGTCATGAGTCTCTACAATTCTGCAGATATGTACCACGAATTGCACAAAAAAACTCAGAATTTTGTGGAAGCAGCTGTAAAACAGGCACCGACAATGAGTCAAAGTGGTAAGGTTTCAGTCATCTTTTTGTGCTTACTACACTTCCCACACCACTGTTCTAGTTAATATTTACTATTCTACTCTCACAAAAGACACACTGAACAGTATCCAACTAAAATCTACCTCAAGGGCCATGTGCCCCCTTAGTTTCCACATATGATTGAGATTAAAGACAGTGACTATCATATTTCAGACAGCTGACGTGAGGAAATAAGACGGATGCATGAATTAACTTTCTCCACTACATAGTCGTTTTGCCTAACTTTCGAATGAATTATTTATGCATTACAAATCCTATTGTGGCAGTGAATATTTTGCGTCCTTATTACTCATATGTTGCATCAAAACTATCCGAGGCTGATTAAAGCATCAGTTAACGTATACAGTATAAATGTTGAAAAATAAGACTCCTGTTTTCACAACATTAGATGTACATAATAATAAATTAAAAATACCTGTCATATGAAGTACAATGCCAGGAATTACTGGTCGAATTCAACTCTGCAGGTAGTTCTTCTAGGCGACGACTCTGACAAAATGCAGAGTCTTCTAAACACCTTGAGCAGCAATCTACGAATGTTTGGCATGCGATTCGCTCCCGCCAAATGCAAGATGATGTTACAGGACTGGACTACATCGACGCCTAGTTTAAAAATAGGAAGTGAAGTGGTAGAGCACGTTAACCGCTTCACTTATTTGGGAAGTACCATCAGCCCCAACGGGTTGATCTCTGACGAAATCTCAGCACGAATACAAGGGGTTCGTTCCGCATTTGCCAGTTTACGCCGACTCTGGCGTAGATATCCGACTATCGACCAAAGGGCGGGTGTACTGCTCACCAGTCCGCTCCGTCCTCCTTTATGGTTGTGAGACCTGGCCACTGAGAGTGGAAGACATGAAAAGACTAGCTGGCTGTCTTTGATCATAGGTGCCTGCGCTCTATTTCCCATGTAAAGTGGCATGATAAGGTGAGCAACATTGAAGTTAGGCGTCGAGTTCTGGGTAAACAGGGGAAATCAATCGACGAAGTCGTGAAGTTACAAAGACTGAGATGGTTAGGACATGTGTTACGTATGCGAAGTCATCGCCTCCCTCGACGAGCAATGTTAGCGGATATAGGGTCAGGCTGGAAAAAAGCTAGCGGAGGTCAAACAAAAACATGGCACCAGTCAATGAAATATACAACAGTTGGTTTAAGCCACGAAGGAAGGTGTAGACTTCCAGGTTGGGGTCCTCGGGATAGTAAAAATCAATGGTTGGAAACAATTGGTGACATGGCTCAAAATCGTTTTCAGTGGCGCAAATGCATCCACTCCTTGTGACTTATGATCTCCAATGAAACTGTTTTGTTCTTCGTTATTACCCTTTCTTTGTCTCACACCTCTGCTCACTGTCTCTATTATGCTTTTCTTGTACTTTCTTCTCTTGCTTTGTGTGCTATATGGAGTGTGGCGACTTGAACTGACGCACACTTGTGCAAAGTTCTATGTCGAAAACAGACAGACAGTTCACCGATGAATCATTTCGTGTTACTCTAGAGCAACACAATGATGATACAACTACCAATAAAACCAATCACATTCTGGATCATAAAGGCGAGCAACTAATTTACATGCATAGAAGCATTCACATATGTATAACAGTGGTACAATAACTTTCAACCAATATTATGTTTTCACAAGACAAAAGTTATTCACTGCAGCGTACTACAGCTACTAACTACCAATTATGTATTATTTCAATACAAAGCATCAATTTCATAAACATGAAATTAATTTTAAGTAAATGCGAAAACGACAAAATATTAGGAGGTAAACTAACTGAATTCATCACAATTTTTCTGGGATCATCTTTCAACATCTCTCCGAAAATGAAAGAAGCTTTCGTAAGGCCCAATTTGGATACTCCATAAGCAGTCGAAGGCCAACCTTTCGCAGCGTGAGTTCCGTCGTCAGCACACCTATTGACCAATGAAAAAAGAACGAGATCACAAAGGGAAAAGACTGAAGATGCGCACGTATCACAAAATGAACAAGTGATGTGAAGTCGAAAATCAAACGAAAATGTGGGACACGTTGAGATGTATGAAACCAGATGAGTACCAGACAGAGTCATACAATGACTAAACAACGTGTTTGTTATGACTTTACTACAACACAAAACTCAAGACTTCTCTTGTAGAAACGAATTTTGATTATCCTGGAGAATGGTCAGAGAAAGACAATAATTCACACAGCATAAGGGAAGATGTTAATTATTTATCACTCATTAAAAAAATACAAACTCAGTACAATACGGATATCAAGGGATGTGTCACTACAAGTCAAGTGTTTCTTATCTTGGCATTAGTTTCTCGTCAAACCTTTGCTGGTCGTCTCATATTCTTATAGTTTCTAAGAAAGTTTTCCGTCTGACTTATTACATAAAGAAGTTGAGACACTCAGGTATAACCCAATCTCTTATCATACAATTTATTAATTCATGTGTTTTGCCCATCATTCTTTATTGTTCTCCATTATTCTTCCCTGGGCTACTCAAGAAAGATCATATAATACTACGAAGAACATTGAGGGCTGTAAGTAGGGTCAGTGCTATCCCTTTGACTCAACTAAATGACACTGTTGTCAATAGGCATATGAATTCTTGTAAATACTTAGCTAAAGTTATCTTATCTGATAGTGAACATCCTCTTTATTCACAATTGTTTCCTTGTATCTCTTCGGGTAAGACCAGAAGAAATTTTATAAACATTTATGCTCGTACTACAAAATATAAAAATTCGATAGTTTGGGACTCTTCATCAGTACGCACCCACCTGGGGGTTCGAACCCTGGTTACAAAGCGAGCCACTGGTACCCAACCCAATGGCCCACGAATTCTAACTTCTGCCAATTCACGATATAGCGCAACTGCTAGCCAATGTCTTCGGCGAGTATTTGTCCTCACACCTGACCCACTGCACCCTACTGGTCACGACTTGGGTCCCAGTGGCTTAATGGTATACGAGCTCGCCTTGTAACCAGAAGGTCCTGGGTTCGAACCCCGGTGGGTGCGCACTGCTGAAGAGTCCCAAACTAGGCTGACGAAACAGCTGTTCAGTACTCCCAGGTTTTCCAATGGTTCTTTAGCCAATGTCAGCTCATGATGAAATCCTGCAACCAATCAACCAAATCCCTGCAAACCAATACTTGAACATTTATTTTATAAACTTCGCCGTTTAAATCACGTACGAAGGCTACTGTTACGTGAAATTATTAGTAAATCGAGTAGGACATCAGAACTTCATATAACTTCGATCGAGATAAAGACTAATTGATCTTATTCACACTAAGAACTATTACTGTTGATGAACTAACACTAAAAGAATGGGGCGTGATAGGTGTTTTCTCTAGACCATTGTTCTGGTGAGATAATATGCTGAAAGTTCTGATGATAATCAAGAGAATTCCTTTACAGTAATCAACTTTGAACTACATTAATGAAATCCAAAGAATGATGACTTTTGTTGTTCTAGGGGATCTTATGAGACATTTCATTGGTTACTGAAATGCAATGTAATTAGAGTTTATGGGGCATTGATCAGCGTCCATGTAAATTTTACAGCCAAAAGTGATCCACACCAATGCATTCACTTTTTATCCTCAAGAATCTTTAAAATACTTTCATAGGAACTTCATACTTACTGAAACTTCCATGTAGAACATTGTACAAATGTGAGAGTTCGAGTCGCTACACTTTAAATATATACTCATACAAGTGGAGAAAAGAGAAGTAAGGAAACCACAGTAACGAAGGTATGTGGGAGGACGAATAATCGCACGTAGCACACTGAGAATTCAGTGAATCTACGGCATCACAAGGAATGAATGCCACGGCGCCTTTTAAAACAATCTCCAGCGATGTTGCCAAAAGTTTTCAGTCACTAGTTCTTAGTGTCTTAAAGAGCACAGACAGACAGTTAACCCGTCCGCAGGTGGCTATAGGCAACAGTCAAATACTTTATGGATTGGTGTTGTTTCCATCTAACCACCTCTAGTTTCTCTCCAACTTATCCGACATAAAAATCCATTGCTGAGCAGTACGCACATCTCACCATATGAAGCTAAGTTATCAGATGAGTCAATCTCTATATAGTCCCATTTCTTATCCTTTCCTTTTTAACAATATTTCGCATGTCTCTGATGTGTTGCGTCGTTCCATTGGATGTGTTAGCTGTAGATAAGATCAACAAGGACTCAGTGACCAGACTCTTCCTTCAACCATCTATATGCTTTACACGGTTGGAGCTGTGCCTCTACCGTACCATATCGCAAGCATCGCAATAACCATGTTTCCTTCCAAGTACAGTTATTTTTGGACCAGTCACTTTACACGTAGCTAAATTCCGATAATCTAGTAAATCACTCCATGTAGTTAACTTCACAGTCATTGCGAAGCATTCAATAAGATGAGTCACTTTTTAGAGTGGACAGAGCTTATCCCCGAAAATGTTTGTAGTTTTAAATGCCAACCTAATCTTCGTTTTACTAAAAAACCTTTGAAAAGTTTCAGAGTTCCTTTATTTATATGGTGACAGTACAGACCTAAGAATAGAACTTGTGCACTGTGGTAGAGTATAATTTCATTAGGGGTAAATTTACTTTGATAAAGACTCTATTACACTGTGAGACTTTATCAAAATAAATTCTACCCAGTGACAGCATAGACACCTCAACTACTATCTTGTGTTATGTTTAGTATTTTCACTAATACTTCTCCCTTGTTGAGTTTTCTGAACTTCAAGATATATTATATAGGCTAGTTTTCTAGCGCTGGTGCTTTTTCTATGCCTCGTTTCATTACGTAGGATTTCTGACGCTTTACTGTGAATTTTCGCTTTATAGGTGAGACAGCTAGATAAGGTAGAGATAACGAATGAAAAAACTCCGTCTACATACCTGCTAAAGTACACAAGTCTTTCACAGACGGTAATAAACACTTTCTCTTCTTTTGGTCATCTCATTTCACAATTTCATATTGCAAATTCCACTTTCTGATTCTTTAACTCAAATGCAAATTTTAATCTATTTACATTCCTCAAGTATCAATGTTTGCCTTGAGTGGTAATTCAAGTCACGAAACTTACTTTACGAATTCGTTCATAAGTCCTTTCAGCTCTGAAATACTCATTGGGCCAACAAATTTGTGGTACAATTCATCGCTCAGTTTCTTAAGACTGAACAATGAAACAGAACTAGATACGTTGACAACTCTAGAGAGTGAGAATAAATCTTATCTGCGCACAATACCTGGCATTTTCAGCCAATAAAGGAATAGTCTCTTCAATAAAGTTAACAGTGCATGTGAAGTTAGTATTTATTGTAACCCGCGCCTGTTCACCGAATGGAGCCGTTGAGTTTTGCTGAAAATTGACGTAAGGCATACATTGAAATACCTTGTACGCGATACCCGCATTATTCACCGCAATGTTTATGCCATCAGGATAATTCTTCCGTACGAACTCAAGGAAACTTTTACGACTTTCCGGTTCTGTTATATCTAACTGGTGAAATTTGACATCTAGGCCCTTGCCACTAAGCTTTTTCACAGCCTCCAGACCAAGTTCGACGTTTCGTGCTATCTAATTTGGCAATGAAATAGTCACATACCTGTCAAATAAACGTCCCACTCTCCTGAATCTTTGTAAAATTTTGCGAGTTGTTCAACAATGCTGTATCCAATACCCTTGTTAGATCCTGTTACCTGTTATAGAAATACGTTGCATTAAGGAAGTTAAAGTGACCATACAAAAGCCAATTTCATTGCAGTGTTAAAATAACCCTCCTAGTCTCGCTTTCTGGGAACGTAGGTTGGAACAGATATCCCAAACGCGTCAGGAAATGAAAGTTCAAAACGGTACAATTTATAGCCTTGAGTTGACCTTCGATCCAAATTCCAATATAATAATAATGATTTACTTTATTCCAAAAACAGTACTTGTGATACAGAATGGAATTTTCAGCATTAATCACAATATTGCATCTAATTTCTTCAAATTATAAGTAAAATTATTCACACAGAAAATTTTCCACATTTACAATAGGGATAACGTCAAAAACATGTAGCATATAAAATGGAAATAATAATAGTGATAACAGCTAACGTAATAATAATAATACTAGTGAAAATCGCCGTCGGCTTGTTACATACAGTACTATCAGTGCGGTAGAGAAATCCTAGCATATTTAAAAATATTGAATATAATGTTCTCTTTACATGATATGGTGAGGGGAAAAACAAAGATTACAGCAGTCATGGAGATAAGTTGGTGTTTGCAATTATGAGAGTAAAACAGAGAAGTAACAGGACCATAAATATAATAGAAGTAATAAAAGTAAAACTTGAAGGTATATAAGGATGGATGGAGGAAATTGTTTATTTACTAGATGAAAAAAGGTTAGTTAATTGTTGCCTGACACTATTTTCATCAAATAAAATACGTGCCAAGTATGGTATCATAGAATTTCTATACTTAGACGTGCGAGCATACAGTTTTCTGAAGTTACTCCTTGTTCTACCTGAGGTGATGCAAGGTGAAAGCTGAGGGTGCTGTGGATGCTCCAAGTCAGACAAAATCCCTTTAGCAAATTTATTGCATGAAGTCAAGTGCCTATCGACAACGACGTTAACTATGTGGTCCATTGGGACACCACTCACCCTACTGACAGTCTTCAGTATTCTACGAATTGTGACATAGTCCTTTTTAAGCAAACCAGGAAAGAATAAGGGTGAACAGTAAAGAAGAGTGGGTAGGATGCAAGAGTTTATGAACTGTAAGAGAAGGGGTTGTTGAGTTATACCCGAGTGTCTTAACTTCCTAGTGTAAAATGTCAGGAGGAATATTTTACTGGAGAGATCGGAAGAGAGAATAAGTCCAAGATACTTAATTTCTGATTTGATTCCTATATCATTGTCGTCAATTTTACAACTGTCATGAGAATCGATGACTTCTTTTAACTGTCGTTTACATCTTAAGCTGAAATCAACAGTTTGACACTTAGAAGGATTCAGTTTAAGACCGTTAGACTCAAATCATTTGCTGATTCTCGATAGAAAGCTATTTATTTTAGTACAATCTAGCTGGGAGTTAGCAGCCATTGAAACCGTTAAATCATCAGCGTAGTTCACAAAGTTTATTTCCTCAGAGTGAGGCAAGTCGTGCAAGAAGAAGGAAAAAAGAAAAGGAGAAAGAACAGCACCTTGAGAGACACCAGCTTCAGTAGGCAATGAAGTGGAGGACTTCCCTTTATATACGGTGTACTGCTTTCTATCTGAGAAATAGGAGTGCAACCAGTTAACAGCCCAACATTCTGTTTGACTAGCAGCAAGTTTATTTAATAAGATGTCCCTAGGGACCGAGTCGAAAGCAGATGTATAGTCTAGGAAGGCGCAACGAACAAATTTAGCCCCCTTGTCTAGACTGGAAGCAATGTTATGATATAAGACGGCAGCTGCATCTAAAGTGCTTCTACTGTGCTTATAGGCAAATTGTTCAGGGTCATTAAAGGATTTAAGCGAAGGTTCAAGACTAAGTAAAAGTAATTTCTCCATAGTTTTCAAAAAAGGAGAGGTAATAGACATGGGTCTAAATTTTACACATGCTCCAGTAGAAGATTTAGGTATGGGTACAACTTTAATGTCCTTCCAAACGGCAGGCACAATATTATCGGAAAAAGATTTGTTAAATAGATCAGCAAGAGGGTGACACAGAATATCAGAACATTTTTAAAAAATAATACTAGGTACATAATCGGGACCTAAGCTCTGGGAAGGGTTTAGAGACTTGAGGCACTTTTGAACATCATTTGTGTTAAAACCTGGAAAGGGGCTATTATTAACACAAGTGATGCTGGGAAGCATGGCATTTGACGGAGAGTAAATAAAAGATTTGTTAAGAGTACATACATCAAAAGAATGTGGAATATTGTTTATCTGCTTACTACCAGTTATTTCCTTAAATAGTTTCCACATATTAGAAGGATTTTTGCAGGATATGAATTTCTGGTTTTATATTACATTCAACCTCTGCATTTCAGACTTAATTAAGAAGTTAGTTCTTTTTACACCACCTTTATCTTTCATCTTATACAGTTTTTCCTTCTCTCTACGAAGTTTTTAAATTTGAGGCGAGGAGAAACGGTCAAATTTGACGAATAGTGTTTCTTTTGGGCAACAGATTTCAAAACAGAATTTCAGATAGGATGTAATATTAGAGATATTGTCATCAAGTGAATCATCATTAAACAAATCCCATCTTGTGTCACTGAGCATGTTTCTAAGATGATGTACGGCCTCATTTGAGCAGCATCTGTGAACAACTTTCTTAGACAAGTTTGAGAAGGCTTTACTGTGTAACTTCCCGTAAATTTTGGGTAAGACTCGTACAATACTCTTTTACGAGCTTCGTATATTCCAGAATCATTTATAAATACTAAGTCAAGTGAAGTATTTTGTCGAGTTGGGAAATTAACAATATTTTCATGGCCCAGCAATGTAATAAAACTGCAGTCGCCGGAGTTGAAGTCGCCAGTCACTATAGATAAGGAGTTACCAAACGAAGCAGCAGCGAAAATAGTGAATTCGTCAGCGAAGATAGATAGTTCTGAGGAACTGCAACAAGGTGTGATATCGATATTTGTGACAAAAATGAAGCTGTACTTAGGTAAGTGTTTAGGTCGACATTTTGCAGTTATACAATCAATATTGTCATTTGAGAATTTGAAGCGGACGTTGTTGGCAGTAGACCACTGAGAATTAATAAAAGTGGCAACACCACCACCTCTTTTCTTCTTTGAGCTGCATCGGCCTTGTCTGTAGATTGTGAACCCACTTAAGGAGACTAAATTATCGTCATATGAATCATGGAGCCAAGTCCCTTGAAGAGTGATTGCACCAGTATTACAATATACATTTGAGTATAATAGAGAATGCAAGTAGTTAATCTCTGCCAACCTCCATGATGCTTTTTCTTAACGTTATTATATACTCGTAAATCAACAGGTTGAAAACATTTTAGATAATCGCGAGAGTAAGTAATGCGACTTGGATACATAACTGAATAATTAAAACAAAATAAATCAGAGGAAATAGATGCAATATGTAGGATGGAAATTTTGGTAGCCCAAGATTTAAGCAGGCCGCCAATATCCATTATACCAGCTGGGAGTAAGACAATGTGTTTTCTTTCTGCTTGCTTCTTGGCTGTGAATTAAAGGTTCCTGGTCTTCGGTAAACTTCTCCATAGTTCGTCCCGCTACTCGACTTCCTTAGGATTGACTGACCCCAAAAAGACTGATTATTTATGGTTCGCAGTATGTGCCGTGTTGAGTCAGCGTTGCCACTGTGAATAGAGTTGATGCTTCTACTCATTAGGCATCCGGTGTGATTGAACAGACAGTTTAGTTGCAGGTAATTCTCCAGAATTGTTAGCCACAGCATTCATCTTATCTATAATGGAGTTTTTTATTTTTTTACTCTTGTGATTCATTGCATGGTAAGAACCGTCGACCAAGAATGTGCATCGGTGGCACAGTGGTTAGGATCCTCGCCGACCATGCACATGGTCCGGGGTTCGAGCCCACGCCGACGCACACCCGATATCTATGGTCGGCCTGCTAATTTCGGGCTACCGATATCCACGCTGAGAATTCCATACTGGTACCGAAAATACAGTGTGGAATCAAGCTGTAAATCGAAAAAATTCAGCCTCTAATCTGGTGCGCCCTATCACAAAGTTCATTTTCGGTACACACGCAGACAAAACCGGTGAGCCTGTTCCATTTTGTATTGGTTCTTGTACTATTCTCGAAATATATATTTCTTCATGAGTCACCAAACGCCTTAGGTCATGCCATTCCGGCGAGATAATGTGGATCATTGCTTCAGACAGCCGAGTCTGATATCAGTGAACATGGGATAACTGACCAACGTTCACAGTTCCTTGCAGTTGTCCAAGCCCTACCACGGGAATCCAGCAAGTGCGTAATGGTGCAGATGTCGAGAAAGGAGGTAAGTAAGTCGTATGAGTCGCTTAAAGCAACCCTCCTAAGGAGAAACGTTATCACGGATCGACAGCGTCTGGACGACCTATTTCGCTGCGTCAAGTTGGGTTACCAATCCGCTGTGAACATGCTTACAAGAATGCGGAAACGTATGGACCGTCGTCGGTTCGATTATGAACTCTTTAGACAGCTGTTCTTATCCAAATCACCACAGCCAGTACAGGATGTGCTTGTGTCAATCCAAGGTTTAATTATAGATGATTCAGCCACTTCTGCTGACAAATTTTTTTAGCAGTAACACAACAGTCACGGAAATATGCTCGATCGCTAAACAGTCTTCGAGAAAGGACACTGCAATAATAGAGTTATGCAACTTCGTAGGGGAACCACCTAGACTAAATAGTACCCGTATTTCCTCATGCCATCAACCGAAGTCCTCCGACTGGAGTTGGAATAATGATGACTATGGCCAAGAAGAGAAATGCTGCGTAAAAACTTGTAATTTCGGCAATGTCTTAAAGTCTATGGGAAACTATCCCACCAGCACGCGTTAGCGGCAATCGTCGCCGGTTGTACTGACCGCCTACTTTGCATTATGATGTGGTCAGCCAGACCCGATATTTAGTCGACACAAGGGCAGGGGTCAGCCTCCTTCCAGCCACAGCAGCAGATCGTCAGAAGGAACCTACCTTCAACTTACAGGCTGCAAATGTGGTTTTCCAATTGCAAACTTTGGTACAAAATATGTCTATCTCAACGTAGGTTTACGCAAACCTATTCAGTGGATTTTCCTTCTCACTGACGTCACAATGCCCATCATTGGCACAGACCTACTTAATCATCATGATTTACTCGTAGACGTCCGCCGAAAACGACTGATTGACAACACTTG